GTGTTTGTGAGTGCATTTAATCCCTTGCATAGTCCTCTTGGAGAAACTCCACCTTGGAAGGTACTCATGTTTTTCTTATCTTTAAAATAAATTTTAATTTTTCTTTGGGAACATGACCTTGTTTTTCACCTATGTGATGAATTTGTTGTATTATAGGAGCTGTAACTATAGTTACTCCACCTGCAAACAAAAGAGCCTTTACCCTACATATGTGTGTCCCATATAGAGTATCTATTATCCAAAAGGGATAGGGAAAATTTCCACTGAATAAGTAAGTGGCTTCACTGCTTCTATAAACGAAATAATTCAACCTATCAAAACCAACACAGTTATCTCAAACAAACAATTCAACCTATAAAAACCAACACAACTATCTCAAACAAACAATTCTCCCAAGTTAAGGATTACCTATTAATGGTATTAGCTTTTATTTTATTTTTTTTTGAAAAAAAAAATTGACACAAAAAAGAAGGGCATTACCGAAGGCTCTAGTTCGTCGAAAACAGCCAAAAAGTCGTCGATAATCCCTATTATTGACGGATTAACGACGACCATTTTGTCGTCAGTAAATCGTTTGTCGCTTATTGAAGGAAAAAAGTCTTTGGTAATTACCGAAGGACAAAAAACAATTAAGAAGCTAGAAAATGCTAAACCAGAATGCACCACTGGACTTTCATCATACAGTTTAGGTGTAGGATTTTCCAACAAATTAAATCAAGCAATTAATAGGCTTGCAATGAAAATGTGCACTTCTTTTTAATCAATTGTACCAAGCTTTTGCTACCAATTTGAGATGAAATTCAGTGCAATAATCACAACAAAACAGATTCAAAAAAAATTACAACTCATATAAGAAAAGTGTTGAAAAATTGGTGGTTTGAATGACAATTTTGCTCAAACGAGTTTGGACACTTAATTTCATGATTTGAGCACCTTTGTTTTACCAAGTAAGACTTGTGTAAGCTACCATCAGAGGCTAAATACTTGCAAATCAGAATTTCACTGTTTGAGTTGCTCTTAACACCAAAATTTAAGCAAATTCACCAACCAAAATTCAATATATGAAGCAAATTCACCAACCAAAATTTCTCACCTATTTAGTACACTTCTATAGGTTTTAAGTAATCCAATTTTGAGTTTTAGGTACTTGACCTAATTTGACATGTTTATTAACTTCATTTCACTACTTTAAAGTTGGTAGAATGTGTGGAATACACATTCTTAGGTTACTTTAGGTGAATTCTCAATTTCCCACCTATTTACACTAGTAAAAATTATGCTTTTTAACTCGTCCAATAGGCTTCAGTTTAAGGAAAATCGAAGTCTATGAGAGAGGGGTGGCAATTTTGTAGTTTTGATGAATTTATATGTCTCGATTCAGTAAGGACTGAAGCATATAAACTGTGTTTTGGCCTATTAACTCGGTTAAAGGTGGAACCGAGGCTGTGTTTTGGCGTATTGACTCGATTGAAGGTAGAACCGATGCCTATTACCCCGGTCAAATCAGTCACACCTGACCTACTCTCATCTCCGCTTTTTTATTTTACACGAAGCGGTTCTTTCCTCTGGCACTCTCATCTCCCCTTTTTCATTTTACTTTCCTCTGGCAGAAACAAAGAGGGCGCGATCTCTCTTCTCCTCTCCCACTTGACAGGCACAGCGCAAGGACGAGACACAATGGTGGTCGGCGTCGAAAATGGAGGGGAGGCACAATGGTGGAGATGAGTATCGCGACGGTGATGATGGGAGGCTCACCAATCTAAGGCATTTGGCGAGCAGAGAAGATGGTGCCTTAGAGATGATGGGAGGTTCACCGATCTAAGAGTTGAATGGAGTTCCTTGGTGAGGTGGCGGCGAGGTGGTGGCGAGGTTGTGGCGAGGTCGTGGCGAGGTTGCAACGAGGTTGCAGTGAGGTTGCGGCGAGGTTGCGGCGAGGTCATGGCGAGGTCGCGGCGAGGGCGTCCTGCAGCGGTGGCGTTGGCGAGCAACGAAGAGGTGGCGGCGAGGCGTCCTGCAGTGGTGGCGAGCAACCTCCCTTCTTCCCCAAATCTTTTCTTCTTCCCCAAATGCTCATTGCATCAAAACCCATACTTTTTTTCTCTGTTATTTTGGGAGCGATTTTGTTAAGGTTGGTGTAGTTGATTTTTCTGTGTTATTCTGATATTTGGTTCTGTATCTTCTGAGATTTGGTTCTGTGAAAGGGAAGAAAATTCAATAACCTTTAGCTTACTTGGACTGTGCAGCGAAGAGGGAGAAGTGGACTGTTTTGAAAAAAAAAAGTACACGCAATTGCCTCGGTTATCTAAGAACCGAGGCATCATCCTATCTATTTTTAACCCGGTTTAGGATCGAAGCATAAAGCCACCCTCTTTTACCTCGTCCGAATATGCTTCGGTTGGAGAACCGATGCCTGTAAACAAAATTAACCGATGTCATTTGCTCTTCCTACACTAGTGTTAGTACACCTTTTTGGGTTTCAAGTACCAAAACTTTGAGATTTAGCTACTTGATATAATTTGACATGTTTCTTACCTTCACTTACCAACTTTAAACTTGTTAGGATGTGTAGAATACGCATTCTTCATTTACTTTAGGTGAATTCCCAATTTCTCACCTATTTAGTACACTTTTTTATGTTTTAAGTAGTGCAATTTTGAGTTTTAGGTACTTGATCCAATTTAACATGTTTCTTAGCTTCATTTTACTAGTTTAAACTTGTTAGGATATGAAGATTACCCATTCTTGGGCTAATTTAGGTTAATTTCAAATTTATCACCTATTCTAGTGTAATTTTAGGTGCTCAATGGTTAAATTTTGATTTTCTTGGTATTTTGGAATTGTCACCTCGTTTTTAATTTTCTTGGTATTTTGGAATGGTCACCTCATTTTTATTTTTCTTTTTTGTTTTAAAACTTGTCTAGATAGTTAGTTTACTGTTTTGGTTAGTGTATTCTAGGGACTAGTTTTAGGTTCTAAGTTATCATATTTTGAGTTTTAGGTACTTTTTGTAGTGTGAGTTCTTAATTAGCTAGGTTTTATTCTAAACTTGTTAGGATACTTTTTAATTGCTGATTCTAGGATTACTTAGTGGTTGTCCTATTTTCACCAAGGTTGACCTTGCTTTCTAGGTTTATATAGTTAACATTTCTAACATTTATATTCAATCTTTTTCATATGTCGAGTGAACATCATGGTTTAATCACTTTAAAAGCACATATAGACCATAAAGTATAACTTCAATCATCCCATATCCATTACACATACCTTACACACTGATTCATTCACTTAAAGTACATAATAATACATTATCATCTTCAAATAATAATATATTATTCACCATTACAACAGAGTCAACATTCAAATGATTTCAGCATCATTAAGATCTCTATTTATGCCACAATTGTCACAAACACCATACATTTTATAAATCATTTTTAACATTTGAACATCATTAACACCTACCATTTCGTGGACATTTTATAAATCATGAATATTATTATCAGTGCTTCAAAAAAAATGTGTCAAAATACCAAACCAAACCTGACTACAAAAATGTGTCAACAAAGCACTACGCAGCAGCCAACCTAACTTCATGACAAAGCCCTCCTAACACCTAGCTCCACGAACCACCAGCCCTTCCGCAACACATAGAACGAAGAAGAAGAACCCTAGCCACCCAACCCGTAAACCAGCCACCAAGGAACCACCGTCACCGTCCCCAACAACAACCTCTTGAAATCGGCTTAGAGCGACCAACCTCACGCTGATTGAAGCCAATATGCATGAATCTTTGAAGGGAAGGGAAGACACCCACCCACCAATGAACCGCTGCCACCGTCCAGACCACCACACTTTTCAAACTGGCTAGGAAAAACCAACCTCGCGCCCACAGAAAGTTTAGGTCGAGAGAACAAGGAAGGGAGGAGGAGGAGTACTGAAATTGATTTTGGGGAATTTGGGGAAGGAATACTCCAATGTCGAATTTAATGCACTGTGAGCATTACCGAAGGCCAAAGGCTTAAAGACAGTAAACTAGGCCACCGGTAAATCTTTCGGTAATCATTCCATTACCGAAGGCTTAAAGACCGTCAGTAAATGCCCTTCGGTAATAAGTGTTTTTATTGTAGTAACAGTAATAATGGGTTTATCAGTAAAATATATGTCTTAAAGAAAGGGAAAAACTAGGTTCCTAACAATTACATTTATGTTAATTGAAAGGAACAAGAAGATATGCACAACTACCAAGATATATATGACTAAAAAGTTTATTTTAATAAGGGGAAACTATTTATAGCTTTCGATGCATTCTTTTGCATGGTAATTACACATGGGGATCCCATCAAAAGTTGGTATTTTCTACAAATGACCAATTACATGCCACTCTTAATACTAATTAAAGGATAGTTTTGTTCATAATGTCGGTCATAGATTTTTATATCACTGTTGCCATAAATAACAAATACTTAAATAAAATATCATAACATATTTGTTTATGATCATATCCAAATCATGTCACAGGAATTTCAAGTTACATGTAAAATAACTGTTTCATATAACATTTCACAAATCATTATGGATTTTAATTTTCTCAAGAAACATAAGCAACACTTTTTCAATCGAAAGACTGGCTTGACAGGCACAAGCTTGTGCTATAACAAAATGACAGCTGCATTATGCTAACATACACACAGGAAGAAATTGAATGTAACTTTTTACAACTCTTTTAAAGCCAGGGTTGTATTCACAAAACCCAGGCATTAAAAAAATATAGTTCGTAACCACACTCATCACTTCCTAAATATACGTACAAAACATCAACTTCAAGAAATTTTATTTACTACAAAAATAATATATTTTAAGAAGGTTATTTTTCAGCGGTTTGGAAAACCCCGACAAATTCCCGACGGCTATGATTCTGCCCCTAAAATTTAAGTTTTTTTACAATAATTTTTCGATAAATATTCTCCCCAATTAGCTCCTTCCCTCGTGCCTTCATTTCCCATATGTTTTTCTAATTTTCTCAAGCCTTAAATTTGTTCCCTCCCTTCTTCCCTATGCCTTCATCATCTCTGCATCTGATTTTCTCGCAAGCCTTAGTTGTTCTCTCCCTTCCTCGCATCACATTCTTCAAACCCTAGTTGTTCTCTCCCTTCCCCACACCACATTCTTCAGACCTAGTTGTTCCTCCCTTCCCTACAAGCCCTAACTCTTATTGTTCGTGGAACTCTTCGGTTTGGGTTCGGCTTGGTCTTCCATTGCTTAAGAAAGAAAACTTGGTGCATTTGTGGGCTGAGCGAGGTCGACCATCAAGGTATTGTTCGTCGGAGTTCCGGATGCCTCCAATCGAGGGGCTCTGGCATGTGTTCACTCTCGCACTGACCATCAAGGTAAACCGCATTTAATTACTATGTTCGTCGCTCTGTTTGCTTTTGCCTCTCTATACAGATTTTCTAAGAATTTTATTAATGGGTGATAGGGATAAGATAAAGCACCTAAAACCCTTCCCACGAAGAAATTATGGAAACTTTGGCACCTCTTAATCTAATTCTGCAAGAAGAGGAGGCAAGGAAGGTTGAGGTTTAACTTCTATTTTTTTTACGTCCATGATATATTATAATTCATTTTTATGGTTAATGATATATTATAATTTTATTTTTAATGTTAATAGTAGTAGTGAAAATAATTCTCAAGTTATTGTTGGCTAAGGTTAAACAAAAATTGTCATATTATTACTATCTCTTTCATAAAGAGAAAATTTTTTGTAAACCTTTTAATGTATGAAACTTCACTTACTAACAAAAGTGTTAGTTAACTAATGCAAGTGTAATAACCAAAAATCATGTTCTTAAGAGAAATAGAAGTAAAGAAGAATACCTAAAGTATGAAACCTTCTGTGGTTGAGTTTTTGAACGTCCTTGGATCCTGCAAGAGCTATAGCTTCAAAGTTTTCTGCTATCTCTAGTTGAGTGAAGGCAACAACAAAAGACATTTTACCCTTTGGAGGATGGAAAATATATCGTAAATATGTTTATGCTGTAGTAACCACCAATAGCATGTGAAAATGTTGGCTTGAAGAATCCTAAATATATACTTGTGATTTCTGGAGTACAAATAACTTTGAGTTTGTTATTGAATTAATGTAATTGGTCATTTCTACAAAATCATGCATGGCTAAATCCTGCCAATGTTACAAAGGCACCACAGACCTTAGAAAATCTTTTTATTTGCCCTGCTCTACTTGTACAATAATCCCCTTCATGCAATTGCCTTCAAATATTGAGGGACTCTGTACAAAGCAGGGTAAGAAATAATGTAACAAGACAAAGAATTAAATAGATAAATAAATAGAAAGGGAATTAAAAATATAAGTTATAATGTGAATTATTTAGTCTTTGAAATTATAAATAATCTCACAATTTAATCCAACTCAGAACTATTGATTATATTATACTCCATAATACTACTCTTCACTGATAAAAATAGTACCAGTACCCTCTTTACAAATTATATTATATACATGTTTTTAATTTTAAATTATCAAATACAAATTTGTAAAGTTGATTATCACTTTTATGCTTTCATTAACTCATTCTCGTGAAACTTATTGTTCAATGCAGCTTGGATCCTCATAGCACAGAGATAGTGTTAGACTGAGAACAGGCCCAAGTTGACAATTTCGTAAAGAAACTTGGATAGGTTCCAGGTGCATACCACATTCGCTTAATTATTAATAAGTTAAGATTATAGAAGGATTAGATTGTTCATTAAATTGATTAAATTAGATTAGATGCTAAATAGATTAGATTGTTCATTAAAGAATTATTATATCTGATAATGTTTATCTGTGATACACCCCTGCATTATGCAAAATGCAGGTCATTTACTTTTAACATTAAGCAGGTATACTACTTAATATTAAATTATTCGAGACAACAATTTCATAACTAAGTAGGGAAACTACTTAGTTTTGATTTCTTCAATTCCATAAGTAAGGGAAACTATTTCAGTCTTCAAATTTATAACCAGTTTTGTAAATTCATCTCACTTATTCTAACCTTTCAATCCTCTTGGCATGAATAGAGGTCGTTATAATGGACAAATCATGGATAGACATGCCTCGAAATATAAGTCAGTATATGAGAGGATTGAATACCTTCTTGGACTTCGCATTCACTAATAGTGGTGTTAGGGGAAAGATAGTATGTCCATGTCAGAAATGCAATTTTAAGAAATGGCAAAGTCGTGAAGAAGTATATGAGCACTTAATTATTAAACCTTTTCCAAAAGGGTATACAATGTGGCTTCTACACGAGGAGAGAAGAGTAAATTTGTTAATAAGCATTTGTTAATTTTCATAGGAAAAAGAGTGTGGCCACAAAGTTAGCCGAGGAGAAGTTTGGATAGTTACTCATAAGAAGACCAACGGAGCTTTTGTTAGTGATGTGGCAAGGGAAATTGGTGTAAGTTCCAATATTTGTTCTGTGATTGGTTTAGTTATATACCTAACCAAGTTAGTATACATAAGGTGAAGTTAGTATCTTATTCATTTCGTAGGACATGATCCAAGTCGGACCCATAATTCTTAACATATGACAACCTCTTTTTCCGGTAAAGCCATATTGTGTGCACATGCTAGGAGTTGCAAAGTTTTTTTTTATTTTCTTTCTTGGACTTTGACTGTAAAACCATATGTCATGTGTATCTTTAGTCACCATATTAGAAACTACAGATTTTACCTTTCAGAATTTTTTGGTGTTTAATTGGAATCTACATTAGTTTTTAATTTAAACTTAAGAAAGACTTAACCTAGTACTAATCTAAATTAACATGATAAATCAGAATAAGTTCATACAAGTGGTTCATACATGGTATGTGTGATTAAGGTGGTTAACCGTGAGCTTAGTTGCAGACTTGGTTGGCAATTCATGGTGTATCTCTTTACTGATATAATTATTGGTTGGCAATTCTTGCTACTATTTTTGCACACATCTTAAGTTTAAATAACGCATACTGCTACTGCCTAGTCAATTTTGTCTCAGGATACTTTGATAGTACTTGTTATAACAACCAATGTTGATCCAACAGTCTTTTCCTTCCCCAATGACTTTTCTTTGTCATTTCTTTTCTTCTTGCACATAACAAACTTCTTTTCTTTTTGTATTTTCTTCAAATCATGATAGTTTGTCTCTTTATACAAATTCAATGTTTTTAATGTTGGCATCATTGATTACGTTGTATGTAGGAAAAAAATTCAAACATATGAATCTACAACATCGTCTCAATCAAAAGAAATATCAAGTTCAGATTCATTGGCTCATGTGTTAGGAAGCCAAGAGCATTGTGGACGTGTTGGCGGTCTAGGTTTGGGTCCTTGCCTATCTAAAGTCTTTGGAGTCCATGCTCGTTCTTATATTGGATCATCTTCATCTACTCCTTCTAATGTTGAGTTACAATCTCAGGTTAATGAATATTTAAATATTTACTTCGTTTTGTTCACTACTACAAAAGAGTGCATAGATAGCGCTTTTTTTTATTATAGATAGCATTTTTTAAGCGTTATCCATGCGTGCACTATCTATAATAGATAGCGCTTCTAAAAAAAGCGTTATCTACTGTCAGCAACAATAGATAGTGCTTGTTTAAAAAAACGTTATCTATTCTCAGCCACCAATAGATAGCGCTTCTTTAAAGAAGTGTTACTTATTGGTTCAAATTTAAAAAAAAATAATTAATTTTAGAATAAAATATAAAATATTGGTTCTATTATATACAAAAAAATATAAAATATTGAGAAAAATATGACAAATGTCTCAAAAAGAATGTTCATTAATATAAATATAAATTATTGGTACACTAATATTTCAAAATTTAATTGTTAAGTTTTCTAGTATGTGTCATGACATAACATTGCTTTATAAGATAATATATACAACCATAACATATATGTTCTATCAATACTTATAAGCATGTACATCACCTAACATAACATATAAGCATGTACTAATTACATGTAGACACCAATTTTCTCTAACTTCGATGATTTGACTTTCATGATATTCTTGACATTTGCAACTAGAAAAATATTGCAAGAAATATAAATAATATAGAATTAGTTACTACAAATTAATTATTGCAAAAAAGATAACTTACATCAGTTGGAATTGTTCCTCCTTCAAAGTATGTAATAATTTCCTTCATATATTGACACACGTAATACCCACAATCATTGTTGTTGGGTTGTCTTGGGCACTAGAATTCCAAAATTAAAAAACATTTTTATAATTTGAACATAAAAAAGAACCAAAACTCTAGTATACTCCAAACAGGTTCAGTGCATGATAACAAATAACTATATACCATATACAGGTTTAAACTCTTAATAAAAAGTTATGCTTTTATAACATAAAGAAACAATTACAAATTACAATCACAAAGAAACAATTTGTAAAAGTTTAGAAATCACCTCTCTTGTTACCCCAAGAGATGAAAGTCACTTCCCCTATAACCCACAAGGGATGAGCATCTCCTCTGAATCTTCACAAAGGATGAACACATCCTCCGAATGCTTCACGAAGGATGATAGGCTTTTAACTCAGCAACAACAACAACACTCCTTGTGAAAGTTCTCGCTCTATGCCAACACACCAAGTTCTCAAAGCCACAACACAAGGGTTCAAAAAACCCTAGAAATATCACCGCACACTGCAGAAAAGATTTTTCAAAATACACTTATTTCGTATTTTAGAATGAGAGTCTCAATCTAATTTATAGAGATCTCACTCAAGGATACCTCCAAAAATTCGTTGTCAACTAATTAACATGTGATAATCAATTATCCAATTATGGTAATTAATTATGCATTTAATGAATGCACAACGGTAAAAAAACTTGCTTAAAAATTCTCAAAATTGCTCATTATAATCAATTATGGTAAGTCATAATTGATTACAGATAATCGATTATTATAAATTGATAATCAATTATCTTGAGTATAAAATGAGGTTTTCTAATTTAAAATAAATTTTAACGCAACCTAAGACAAACAATACATAGAATCAAATATAAACCACATCGTATACATAAATCTACTAAACTATAAAAGCTTTAATATAAAAACAAGTCTTCATGAAGATCTTCCTGCAATAAGAGCACTTGAGACTTGACTTTGAGACATCATCAAAATTTCTACTCTTTAGCTTTATGCTAACATAACCATTACCATGCAACAAGGAAATAAGTCTTCAACCATTCAAGAATACAAGTTATTCACCTAACCAGTAAAATATAAACATCCATAATGTGAACTAAAATGTCACATAAGGTCATTCAACAATTTAATTATCACAATCAAGACTATACTACACAAAACATACTAGAGTAATGTACCTTAATTGTTGTCCACTTGATATTGTTTGACTTAGACTTTGAAACCATGTTTCCTGTTTGAGCTCGATAGGTTTGTATAACCCAAGTGAATAAATAAAATTAAAGCATGTATAAGTAAAAACAATACAACTAAAAGTATACGAATATGTCAAGTAAAAGTATACAACACGTGTATTCTTACATGTCAAACAATTTCTTCAAATCTTGCCTCATATTAATGTCCACTGCTACTGGGTCAAGATAATGAATTATCTCCAGTTTAAGATTGATTACAAACAAAACCCAATGTTGGCTACAATTTGAAATGAATCAACAAAATTAGAATTTGTACATCTAACTTTGAAAATAATACATTGTTGATAAAGTTGTAAAGTAAAGTATTACCCGGTATTAATAGGTGCAAGAAAAAACTTATAAATCACCCCATTATCAAGAAAAAGAGTAACTCTTTTTTGCATTTTGTCTTTCATTGGTAGCTCATGTGATGGAAGCAGCTTCACTCTTCAAGAATGAGCAGCTTCTCGGACCAGAGGTGGCAGCGGAATTGGAAACACAGATGTGGTTGGAGGTGCATGAAAGGTGTTTGATGAATTGTCTAGTGCGGTTTTTGGAGTGTGTAGGTAGAGGTTCTAGCTCAGACGGCCTTCCAAGGGGGAAGGAAGCTAGAGATAAGTGTGCTAAGAAGGCACAAGTCAATGAACTTGAAAGTAAGAACTGGCTGGACAATTCAGCAGAGTCTCTTTATACAATTCAAGTTCATTGACTTATGCCTTCTTAGCACACCTATCTCTAGCTTCCTTCCCCCTTGGAAGGCCGTCTGAGCTAGAACCTCTACCTACACACTCCAAAAGCCGCACCAGACAATTCATCAAACACCTTTCGTGCACCTCCAACCACATCTGTGTTTCCAATTCCGCTGCCACCTCTGGTCCGAGAAGCTGCTCATTCTTGAAGAGTGAAGCTGCTTCCATCATTTGGTATCAAGAGCCAGCAAGTCCACGCTGTGCTTCAACGAGCTAAGTTGCTCTTTTCTTCATTTTTTGTTTCTGTCATGTGCTGTCAACTCTGCCACTGTTTTATCAATTTTTTTTAATTATGTTTGGCTTAATTTGTACTTGAGCTTGCTGTTTGTGTTCATTCAATTGTTCCTTAGTGTTTCTTCATCATTTTAATCGTTACACTTTGTTTGTTTGAGTTCAAATCCAGCTTTATTCATCTTTTCCAGTTTTGTCTCAGTCATGTGCCTTATGTGCAGTTTGGTAGAAAGTGCCTCAACCAATGTAGTTGTCCCAACAAAACAATCTAAAAATCTTTTTC